AACACATGGTCTTCTCCTCACATCCACCTTCCATCTTTTCTCTGTCTTCAGAGAAAACCCAATATAAGTGCAGAGAGCAGAATGAAGGAAGCAGCCAGAATACAATGTCATAATATCACTTAGAACCAGAGTGCATGCATACCATCCTGAAATAGAAAACAGAAAACATAGAGGAGATAAGGGAAAACAGTGTATAAAAATGGGCATTTATGAATTTTTCATTGGCTCCTACTTTTTATAAATTTTCCTGTTCAGAACAACTCATATCAACTATCATTTGTAATACAGCCTTTTTAAGCTTTAGACTTCAGAAAAGAGGGATGGGTCTTGGAATCCTAGTAGTGAGGCACTTTGCTCAGCTGTGAACATTTTCGTGGACCTTATGAGGCAGATGATTGACTTTGTCCCATATGACCACACACACACAAAACCTGTTGACGCTTAGATGTGACTGTTTTTGCATGAGAGGCAGTAGCTAACCGGTTGGTTACAAGAGGTGCTATCATTCTAGATTTTGGGTTGTTTTTTTTTTTCCTTTTTTGACTTATTTTGATTTGGAGCAATAACATCTGCTTAAGAAGGAAGGCTGTATTTTGGCAAAGATTATGCCACCACAGGAAGACAAAGATAGTATTGTATCAATGTCCTCAAACAAGATCTTCTATACCTTTTGTCAGTGACCCACAATTTGCTGAAGCCACTTTAAAGACTTCCCATACATGCAGTTAAGCTACATTGCAGAGAAATATTCCAGAAATTAGTTATTTATCTGTCTCATTATGCCATAGTTTATGTGAGAAATAAAGATAACATTCTGGTAATTCTTAGGAGGAGGATGTGTTGTTTGCTAGGTTGCTATGTTGCAAGGATGAAGCACTGACGTGGAAAAAAAATGGCAGGAATATTTTATATTTTATATTTTATATTTTATATTTATTTTAATAAGAAACATCCTTTCTTAAGTTCTCTAAAAGAAAGTGTGGGAGTCTTGACTTTATTTTTCACAAATACCTAGGGATCAGATCAGCTCAGCAACTGATATCATGCAATTCAGAACAGATGTGAAATGAGAGGGGCAAAAAAAAAAAAGAAAAACCAGGCAAGCAATGTTTAATTACAAGAAGAGCAGAAAGAAAGGAAAAGAAAACTGCCCTCAAAATGGTCATATACAATATATTTTGTATTTCAGTAAGATAAAAAATAATTGCACCATATAGAAGACATGAAATGCTTAACATATGTATCACAACATATTTTCTCCATTTGGATGAGTAAAACTCATTTTCAATTGGCACACTGAAAATTACATAGAAAAATACTAATAGAATGTAATTAATACTTTAAAATGTTCTATATGCAATATTTTTTAAGAGAATCATTTATTGTGATTATAAATCTTTGGGTTTAGCCATCAATGTCCTTTAAAAAAGGAAAAATATCCTCTTATCAAAGCATAGTTGCTAAAGTGCATACCATACTCAAAATGCAAGCCAATGTGTATTTTCATTGATAGCTTCAGGCCTTGTTATACAGGGCATGTTTTAAAACTCTGGAAAACAGCATTTGGGATTTGCTAGGAGATAGAGCAGAATTCCCAGCCAACCAAAACCTGTCTTTTACAGGGTATAAGAAGGAATACTGGCTGACCAAAGGCCATAATACCTGCTTTGCTATTAGGAAAATTTCAAAAAATTTCAATACATTTCAGTTCCATATCACAGGCTTCTAATATTTAAGCTAAACAAGTCACCTTTCACTATCATTGAAACAAAGAAAAGACTTTGGACTGCTCTGGATCTACTTACTCAGTTGGGTCAGCGGACTCATGCAAAGGCTGCTGAGCAGTGAGTGGTGTGCACAAATATGAGATCAGTTCTTACGCTTTTGTACTGCCTCATTGGTAGCACATCTTTAGGCGCGAAAGGAAGATTTCTATGTAAAACCTTTGGTGCCTAGAAAGTCTAAGATGTCCAAGAAGAGTTATTTGGGGTCTTTGTTGGGAAAGCAGGCACTTAAATCACATTTGTACTACCAAGTAAGAGTGAAGAGGGACTACTTTCTGGTCTACCAGCTGGCCCAGCACAGTTCATCTGCAGACCCCTACATTTTTTCCTTTTCCTCCAAAGAACAGCATGGCCGTATCAAAACTGCTTACTGGGTGCAGTGCTTACAATATGCCTTTTCCCAGACGACGGCTGGTCACTGTCTGGAAATGTATGAGTTAGCACAGGCCAAAGCTGTGGAGGCAGTGGGCTAACAGCTAAGCACTATGGGTGAACCTTCTCTAGTGCTCAAATCTGGCTTTGACCTTTTTTTTTTCCTTATCTAGATGTGACTTTAAATTCCACCTCAGATGCACTATAAGTACTTAAGTCTTAAATTGGTGCTTTTCCATGATGTTCACTCCTCCAACTGCTCAGACTCTTTCATGTCACTTCTCAGGCCTGAAAAAGACCTGGAAAAATGGAGGATCTTTGTGGGAAGGACTGAAGACCAGCATCTCCTATCTTCTAGGCTAGTTTTCAGGATGCCCTGAGGGTTTCACCTACTATTTCTTGGACATCTTACAGTATTCTGCAGAGGTATCTTGTCCCACAAACCTGAAGTATCTTTTGAAGAAACCAGAGCATGGGGGTAGGAAAGCTTATAAGTATCAGCATCTCATCCTGAAGTGAGATATGACCTAAGTTCATATCCAGACAGAACTCTGAAAATCTTAGTTTCCATGTAGCCTTACTGGCTAAAACAGAGCAAAATGGGACCATCATATTAAAAATCTCGATATAGACTGCAGTAAGATTGAAAGGGGCTGCAATAAAAAGGATAGAGAGTGGGAGACACTTATCTGAGAAATAGATCTCTGGAATAGGTATACTCATGCATTCTTTAAAGCTACGGACAAGAGTTCAAATGTAGTTTTGAGCCAAAGCTGAGGACTTGTGAATCAGAGCAGGAAGATGATGTGTACAAACTGAGACTGGATACATAAAAATGCTCACAGAAGCCTATGATTGCATTATTTACTTCTGCTCTTGAATAAACATTTATTTCCTGTCTTGTTTAAGTAGACACATGGGTTTGCCCGTTTTCTTGTTACAATATATGGTGTGCTGTTCAATACACGCCCTGTAAACTAATGCAAATTTTCAAATATGATTCATAAACCAACTTACTACTCTTAGATCTATTCTATGAAGAGAAAATGTGGATTCATACTGGACGGATCTACAGTGCTAGTGATCAGGACGGAACATCTGTGAATATTTATCTGTTATCAGAGCCAGCGTTCGTGTCTCCAACCAATAGACTATGCTCAATGACTAATTAAAAATAGAAAAACAATTACTTTATTTCTTTTATTGTCGCAAGTATCAACATAGCAACTGAAGCATTAAAAGTGTGGTAGGGGATATAGTCAACACTGTTAAAACCACTTGCTGTTTAGAATTTTATTTAAGAACAAAAAGTACACACATCGCCTAGTCTTCCTTCTCATTAATCATTTACTGTGGATAAGAAACCTTTGTAAACAATTAAAATTGAATTTGTAATGAAAAAAATCATGTTCTAAAGAATGCAGTAGGCAAAAGCTGCTATAAAGAGATAATCACAAACCACAGATAAGTGATAAAGGCTTCACTTTACCACCTAGCAACCTTACCCATACCTGCCACTGTTGCAAACAAGCTGAGATAAAAGTTTTGTGATTCTGGGACTAATACAGTGAAATTAATTACACAGTTTAAGCTGCTCTGACACTAATAAAAATTGTAACTGATGAGATGAAACATAATGAAATCAAACCAAACTCTCAGCTAGATTGCTCTTTTCAGGTGTCAGTTTTTGAATTTTCAATGCTTAAAAATTTAATCTAAGTTTCCTTTTTTATTAAAAACAGGTCTAGGAAGAAGGAAAATAATCATCTGACTATATTGCTTTTCAGCCTGTGATAAAGGAAAGGTAGTTACCAAGCTTTTCAGATATTCTGAATGAACACAGAAAGGAAATTTTTGTAATATAACAATCTAGATAGCAAGTATCTAGCCAGTAAATAATGTACTTCAAAACAGATAAGTGGAAAATAAAATGGAAAACAAGCAAACCTCTCTGTACTCAGTCATACAGGTTTTTCATCACCTTCGTAGCCTGGTGTCCAATCTATTTTTGTATGATCACGTGTGAAACTTTTCTGTGTCCAAAAGGCTAGTTTAATTCTTATGACAAAGATCATTGCTCAGAAGGGAACAGGCAAAACTAAAATCAACTCTTTATTTTGCTTTTCTTTTTAAATAATGATAATAATTGTAATAATCACAGGTCCTGCAGGCATGGCTACACAGCATCAGATGACAGAATCTTTAATGTGTTCCTTTTAGCTCCCAAATGTAGACATTGGTCCTCACTGTTGTGGATTTATCCCCTAGTCTACAGCTGTTGGCATTCAGGAACCCTAATGTGTGTTTTAATGCTGTGGACTGGGTAAGGTTTTATTTGAAGGGAAGCAGCACCATCTGTTGCGATCTGATAGCTTAGCTCTAGATGTTATAAAGAACAGAGATGGCCTCTGGACGGATGAATATGATTAAATAAAACAGCCCAGTTTTAAATTCTTTCTTGCACTTACTTTCATATGTTTTTCGCAAACCAGCTTCAAATGAGGTTAGGATCTCAGTTTGTATATGATAAGGTACAGGGACAAGGGTGTGTGGCATGCGTGCATGTGTCTAATAAAAGCGTCCATCTAGGAGACATACCTGTTTACAAACTAAGATAAAATAATAGCATAAGCCTGGTCCTGATTAACTGTTGCTTTTAAGTGACTTCGCTGGAGTTTTTGTTTCTGAAGTGGGAGGATAGTCAAGAGTATGTTTTACTCAGGTGATAGTCTCTCAAAATTTGCTTTCAGAAGCAGCATTAATATAGGTGTGTAGTACAGTATGTTCCTCTAATGACAGTGCTATTGTCATCCATCTATACTTCTGGTTCTTCTCTTTTTCCAGACTGTCTACAAAGCCTGGCTCTGTTCCCAGTATTTTGAAGTCACACAGTTTCACTGCAGCAACAGAATTCCTTGCAAGCAATACTGTTTGGAGGTTCAGACGAGGTGTCCCTTTATATTACCAGACAATGATGATGTCATCTATGGAGGACTATCAAGTTTCATCTGTACAGGTATAGTATAGAAAAGCTAATTTCACTTGTTTTCGTAAGTCTAAATGTGAAGGAGATTGTGGATAATGTTTCTTCCATTAGCTCTAACTATGACAGCCTGAAGGTATTCCTCATCACAAAGATTTCCTGGAGGTGCTAGGATTTGAGCCCAGATTTAGTAAGGCACATTTACACTACAGCTTGCCACAGTCATTAACTTTACAAAATAAAATCACTAGAAGAAATTTGTTCTGGTTATTTTTTACACGTAAAAATTTGGTAGAGAATTTTTGTTGCTCTACATCATGCAGTACTCAGAGAAAAGAGGCTGTGTCATGCAATATTCAGAAAAAAAGAGAAAGGCAAGTCCAGTTTGTAGTATATTCACCTTTGTTCACCTGCATTCTTATGTCACATAAATGAAGACTCTGAGCCACAGCATTTAAAACTGTGCAGAAGCTCTTGGAAGGTAAATGTCTAAGGAAAGGTCTTTCACTAGTGAAGAATTTTAAGAATCAGCTGTTCACCTGTGAAGAACTGATCTTTTGGTCTCTTCTTGAGTCTTGTTACATTCTGTGAGTATTTTAATTTTAAAAGATATTGCTAATATAGGTCTATGCATTGACTGATAAAATGGTTTGGTTTCTTTTACATTCCATTTTGCTTCAAACACTACCCCAGAATGATCCACCCAGAGAGGACATGGTAGGCAAGAAATACCTTTAGTACATCTCAGGTATCTCAGATACTCTTGTTAAGACTGGCTTGGAGTCATCCACACAAAATTTCAGCTCGTGTCAATGTTATCTGCAGATTTCTGGTGCCTAGAGAATCATCTGAGAATCTTGAAGATATTTAGGCAATTTATTCCCACTAAATCAGTAAAAGGGCATTTCAACACAGATCATTTGGCAACCTGGTCCAAATAACTGAAATTAGACAGCCTCCACCTTAAATTAGGGCTCCACTGGAAAGCTTGATACTAAATGAATTGTCCAATGTAAGCTACTTAAAACCAGAGTAAAATATAAAAACCCATAATTGCTTCATAACATCTCAGAGGCAAACATGTTTGTGGCAACTCGCTTCACCTTATACCCCGTGTTTGGATTTAAGGGAGTTCTAGTAGCAAGATATTTACTGTATTTCTTCTTGAAGATTAAGCTTATTGCACACAATCAAGCAATATCCATCCATATGCAAAAGACAATATAATGAAATGTAAGCTGAGTTACAATTTGGTAGTCATCAATAAGGTAATGGTGCTTAGCACTTCACTTCAATGCGTTTTGTGAATATTAATAGCCTTCCAATATGCATACACAGTAAGCAAATGAGCATTATTTTCCATTTTAAGATAGGACAGTAAAAGCTGAAGTGAGAGACTTAGGACATTTTTATTTATAACGTATACAATATATATGTGTGTGTGTGTGCATGTATATACACGTGTGCATACTTACATACATACACAATGGCAAAGAACAAACAAACAATAAACAAAACTGTCTTAGTAATTATTTCAGAAAATCTCTTAGGAAATACATATCCACCTCTTCATTTTCATAGTATATCTCCAAGTCCAAATTCATTCCTAAAACAGATGAAATAGATGACTTTGCAAAGATTACTAACAGTCAACATCTCTGAGTTTGGGCTGAAAAGCAGATTTAGGGGAGGATTAAACTCATTTTATTGCAGGTATTAGTAGTGTGGGTATGGGTATCTACACATAAACCTTGTGACTAGGCACTCACTAGAGTCACTGAAGATCTGGTGTAGTCAGTAGAGCTGAGAGCTATTTAATTCAGCCTAATAGGCTCCTGCACCTGATGAGCTGACTAGCCCTCTATGCCCTGCTAACAGCTGCACTCTATTTGCTGTAGCTGCTGTTAGTCACCAAGGTCTTATTGCAGAGACTTAAAACCAGGGTGACCTGAATCTCATCTCAGCAGTCCACTAACTAATATTTGGTTGAACTTTTTGTCCTCTTGAGTCAAGACCCTCAGCATCAGCAGAGCTTGTATTTGTGGAACCATAGGAGTCAGCATGCTGGCACTAGGGAGTTGTGTGCAAGAGAAGATGCTGAGGAGAGGTATGAGGCTGCAATTCAAACTTTGTCTGGAATACAGGCCCATTGTCACCCTGTTATTATCGGCAGCTCACTGTAGGAGCATTTCCTGACACTAAACAATGAGAAATCAGATTAATATCTGCTGTGGGACTAAAGAATTACACTTCTCTACAGCTTAGTGAAAACAGAATTATTTCATGTTAAGTATGGTGAGTTCAACATCAGACAAAATACTCTACCTCAGCATAGCTTGTGGCTTGACGGTTAACTTGAACTCCTTTTGCAGAAAAGCAACTGAAAGCAGGTCACCCATGTCTTGAGGGACCTCTTGCTGCAATTTTGGTGAGCTCCTGTCTGGCAGACATGTTCTGGGATTTCTAATTACTGATCCTGCTCTTCCTGGGGTGGGTGAAATGCATTGGCAAAAACCAAAAGAGTCAGGTCAAAGGTATTTCTATTTGATATTTAGGTGTTATAGCTGGTTGTCTGGTGTCTCCATTCAACCTAAGTTCACTGTGAAGCCGGTCACCATTGAGCTCTGCTGCAGGAAACACAGCAGGAGCAAACTTTATGTTCAGGGATTCCTCATGAATGGCATTTTGCCACAGCCTGTCACTCATTTAAATTAGGCTTGAATATCTCTGCTGCTCCTGACTCTGATGGTATCCCATGGAGAGAAATGCTACAGGTCCTTTTTTGAATTTTTGACTTACATTTTCAGAGAAATACAGCAGTAACTGAATTAGGTTATGTTGGTATGATATTTTTCCCCCATGAAACTAATGAAAGACTAGCTGGCTTGCTAAGGAACACTGTTAATTATAAAATATTGTCTGGAGAAAAAAAGGAGCCCCTTTGCTTATAGGATAATTTATCTCTGAGAAACATCAAGAATTTGTGGATTCTGATTTTCTTTAATAATGTTTTAGAAGCAATAGTTTTATAATAAGGGCTTCCCTTCCTCCTCTCCATGGTAACAGACTATTTCCTCTAAGGTCCAGTAGGTTAATGGAAAGACAGAGGCTTGATTTCTATAAAACATTTCAACACGCCACGGAAGGCAAGTAACAGGAAAAGGTGTACCGGCGATAGCTGTTTTTATTCGATGTTGACTACGGCAGAGAGTGCAGGATGTACATATAAACATGACATGCCGCTTCCCAGTTGCAGCTGGATAAGAGGCTGGGGTGGTTTGATGTCGCCGGGAGCTGCCGCGGCGCTTCCCAG